AGTCCATCCTAAAGGAAATCAGTCCTGAATATTCATTGAAAGGACTGATGCTGAAGCTGAAACTCCAATACTTTGGCCACCTGATGCGAAGAACTGACTCATTTGAAAAGACCCTGATGCTGGGAAAGATTGAGGGCAGGAGGACAAGGGGACGACAGAGGATAAGATGGTTGGATGGCATCACCGACTCAGTGGACATGAGTTTGGGTGAACTTTGGGAGTTGGTGATGGACAGGGAGGCCTGGTGTGCTGCGGTTCATGGGGTCACAAAGAGTTGGACATGACTGAGCAACTGAACTGAACTGAAGAGGCTCTTTAGTTCCTCTTCGCTTTCTGCCATTAATGTGGTATCATCTGCATATCTGAGATTGTTGATATTTCTCTCAGCACTGTTGATTCCAGCTTGTGATTGATCCAGCCCAGCATTTCACACAATGTACTCTGCATGTAAGTTAAATAATCAGGGTGACAATGTACAGCCTTGACGTACTCCTTTCCCAATTTTGAACCAGTCTGTTGTTCTGTGTCCGGTTCTAACATGGTTAGTGGTAAAAATGGATTGTAAACTCAAACATTTAATTGATATTTAGAAAAAGCAGCATTATCTGAATGAGCTGATCATTCTGTTGGGTTTTGGTGCCTTGCCGCTAATTTTTCTATTTTTGCCTTGCTTTTCCATTCTCTGATTCCCTTGCTTTGGTTCCTAAAATGTCTTCCACTAGGTATTAAAGCTGAAAGATGTGGATAAAGATAGCCTTTAAGTAATCCAGACAGGAGACTACATTTTGGGGAGGCATGTGCTCAGCCCTGTGCTTTAATTATCAGATCATTCCATTAACTGAAGAAATAATAATTTTTTCCTACTTGCTGTAAATTTGTTGAAAAGAGGATTAGAGATTCACCAGAAATATACCCCATAGTGGAAACCAGATAAAGAGAATAATCAGTCAGAACTCTTACTCTCAGAAGGCTGGTCAAATGCTGCTTACTTATTGGTGACCATCAGTTATTGGTGACCATGTTAAATCAGAAGTCATTTATGGGAAAAAGTCATTTATGTTTCTGTGTCTATCCTGTGTCTTGGTGAATTGGAAAGCTATTTGGAACCTTTCTAGACAGAACAATCACATTTTTTGCAAATGTAGTAACTGTCTCCAACTTCTCAATGAAAGGATGAAGTATGAAAACCAAACAGAAAACAGGAGAGAAAGGGTCATCAAAAAAGAAGGAAAAATTGAAGAAATACATGAGTGTATTTAAGTTCAGAAAATGAGAATTTTCCATGCCTCTCACCCAATGCTGCTTCTTCATTTTCTGAACTAATACTAGGGAAAGATTTAATCGGTAAATTTGAATAAGATGAAGTCCATGGAGGAATGCAGAATAAAAATAGAAAATCAAAATTAAGGAATGTGGAGAAGCCAAGTAAGCAGGGAAAAAATGAAGTCAAATAACTGGGACGAATAAGTGGAAAATACTCCCTATGCCAGAAGCCTTAGAAAAACACAGCCCTTTTGAGAGGACATTCAATTAAAACCCAAAGTGTCTTTTTGGTAAGTTAACTGAAAAAAAAAATGCTTGAAACCCTTTGATTTAAAGTGAGTATTTAATATTAAAACACAGGACAAAAAACTTTGAAGAGGAAAGCCACGGAAAGGTTAAAAAAAAATCAGGCACTCCATATATATTTTTAGGCTCACTAATTAACTAACGATAAAAGACACCCCCCTGTTTAAGCTGATGTATAATTAAGGTATCCAAGTACAAAGAATTCATCTCTGAAGCTAAATTAGAATGTAGGAGGCAAAACCTGAGATTTTTGCAGGTACTCTTTTAAAAAAAAAACAACAAACTTCTGAAAGTATTCTCTATTCTTGGAGTAAATCATTGAGAAGCCTCCATAGGTGAGGCACTGCAAGCAGTGCTATGGTGGGGGGATGGGTATACAGACAAATAAGATTTCTTTCAACACTAGTTTATGAAAGGCTGGTCATCCAGGAAGGCTAGAATCAATGCTTCCTGAAGTTTGGTTATTTCAGGCCACGCCCAGTAGTTAGTTGCCCTCTAGTTAGTGCAGAGTTGACCAATGCAAACCTCAAGGCTTTTGTTTAGGAAGAAAAGAAAAGTGAGTGGCAGGGACACAGAACACACTTTAATCCTTTCTAATCCTTTTTTAATTACGTAGAATCATCAAATGAGCACAGGCGACCTCACTGAACCGGAATGCAGTCACGCTCGCCGGGCTTAGCATCAGTCCGTTTGATCTGGTACCCCGTGGCCTCGGGCTGTTGTGCTTTCTACCATCCGGTGTTATTAGTGATTGTGCTTTAATGAGTGCCCTCTTCTCAATTTTAAAAAACCTGTTCATGTGAAATGTTAAGTGCTTTTTAACCCTTGCCGCAACCTCTGTGAGCTCTGTCCCGTTCTTAGACGTGTCCTGACACTTGGTGGCATTCCTGAAGCCAGTGGGTGCTCAGGATTTAAACCCAAGTCTATCTCTGGCATCTGATCTTGGCATTACTCTTCTGCAGGCTCTGTCACCTTTTATCTCAATTCCGAAATCCACAAAACTTGACAAATGGAAGTTCTTTTTTCATACCCTTGGTGCTCAAACTCGGTCTGTGGTGAAACCTGGCTGGAAGTGACTTTGGGCCGTGGTCTTCCATGCTCAGTGTGGATGTTCACAGGTTGCACTGCACTTGTATTGTGTTTGTAGACTGGACTGTTTCTTGCAGTGGATGTATTTTTTTTAACTTCCTAAAATCTGAAAACCTTTCAACTCAGAAGCCATCTAGCCCTGTGGGTTTCCAGAACAGACATGAACCTGATCACCCCCTGTCACCTGGCACCTGCCTGCCCACCGTCACTTCTCCTGACCCTCCCTCTTGTCCTGCTTCCCGCCGCCCCACCACCACTGTGCTGTTCATCTGCGGCTCCTCATGCTGTGGACGTGGCGACTTAAGCACATCAACTTTTATTACCCCCAGAACTCAGATAGAATACTGAGGTCATGCTGATAACTTCCAGTTACAATTCAACACCAGAGGGTTCTCACTCTTTCCCATTCCCTAACTTCCTGCAAGGAGAAGGTCATCATTTCTTTTGTGCTTTTTTTAAAAAAAGAAAATGTCCTTTCTATATAACCAGGATACAAACTATTTCTCCTGGTACATGCAAACGTACATGCCCTTTTTAATTTAGATAATAGATCTTTCATTTTATAATGAGGTTCACCATAAGTTGTTTTGAAATATCAGCATTTTTAATGCACTTACAATGGTTCATCCATAAAAATTATATTTAGGCAGAACATTTCAGGAATGATTTTATGTATATATATTTATATATAAAGTGAAGTCTCTCAGGCATGTCCGACTCTTTGCGACCCCATGGACTGTAGCCTACCAGGCTCCTCTGTCCATGGAATTTTCCAGGTAACAGTACTGGAATGGATTGTCATATATATGTATATATTATAATCTGAAGCAAAGCAGCCTGAATCATTGTGTTAATCACCTAAGGCCAGATGAATGTGTATCGAGTAAGTATTGGAAGGTCATTGCTGAGATGCTACACTTCCTTCCTTTTTGGAGTATTTCCCTTAGGAGAAAAGGGAAAGGCAGAATTATTGATTAATTAAAGATTTATTGGAGGCCTTCAGTATACTACTCAATTAGAATGAGGAAAGTGAGGGATGAGTTAAGACTTTAATCTTTTATTCTGACTTTTCTGGAAATGGAGAAGGGGGCAGGGGGCATTGGGCAGAAGAGGTTCTGCAGCTGAGCCTCCAAAGTGGGTTATTTTATTTCCAGTCTCACTGGGGGAGGACAGGAAAGGAAGAAACCAGAACTGGGCTGGAAGTGTTAGAATGGGTTTACTTCTGAACCTCTAATTTGCTGCCTCATCACATGCTGAAAGAAGTGGAGAGTTTGGAGGTGAAGTTCATCCACTGAACCCTGCTTCCCTCTCTCCGGGCCTGGCCCTGAGGTGGCCCATTTCCCAGCAGCTCGCAGGGGACATGGGGAGTCGGGCAGGCCTATCCGATCGTGAGGGAGTTGGGCCGGACCTGTAAGTATCAGAGAGGACGGAAAAAGAACTAACATTGATTGAACACTTGACTCTGTATCAGGCTCCATACATGTTGTTATATGTCTTTACAAAAATGGATGCTTCATCCCTATTTTACAGATTAAGGCAGCTGAGGCTCAGAAGTTAAGAAGCTTAAGAAGGGTTTCACACCCCCCGCAGGGGCGGAGTTGAGGCTGAAGCACATTTCTGTCCCCAAAGCTCCTGTCCTTGCTGTCACATCCTCGCTGGATTTACAGCAGGGTGGGGCTTGGGGACAAGACCAGTCATGGAACCGCTGGGGTCACATGGCAGTCACATGGGCTCGGGGTCTTCATGTGGCCTGGTACCTTTTCTCTCACTGTCCTCCACTCCACTGCTGAGGGCACCTGTGAGCTGGCTTCTTGGGCACCTCCCGAGTCCTGTGTCTCGGTCAGACCCAGGGTCTGCGGCTGCTTCCTGGTCCTGAGAGAAACATGTTTGAAGAAAGTCTTAGGAAGCAGTCGACCCGCAGTAGGTGAATGTTTGTGGAATGAATGGGTTTGTTGCCTTCTGGAAACCCCTGTGAACAGGAGTGGATTTACACATTCTCCTAGTTTTCTACTTGGCAGTTTTCCCACAGAGTTTATTTGAAAACAAATTCCGATTATATATATCCCAGGTCACTTTTATACCACCACTGGGAACACTAGGGCTGTATTTGTGTGGAGGGAAAACACACAGCTTTCGAGGTTGCCTCTTGGAATAAATGCTCCTTTTCTATTCTAATTAAATTATTTTCTTAAGCTTGCTATTTTAGAGGATAAAGATTTAACTAGAGACTGCAGGCTTACTTAGTGTTTTCTTCCCAGCCAGTCACTGGGCTACCATGAGAACCCTTTATTATTCCATCTGTTAGGGTATAAAATCACAGAACATTTTTCCTCTGTTAATAGGGAGAGATAATGCATGTGAGAAAACTTCATATATGTTCCTACGAAAGGAGCTTCCTGTGCGCCTGGCTAACACAATGAGAGAAGTTAATCTTCTGCCGGAGAACTTGCTTAACCGCCCTTCGGTGGGATTGGTTCAGAGCTGGTAAGTACATAGTGTGGGACAGATGGGTCTACCCAGAATGCTCAGAACATTTGGCATTGGGACCATTCTCCCTAAAAGTACACGTAATGCTTCCTGTGGGTATGACTCATTCAGGATAGCTGGATTTCTTCGGTAATTAAAGGGCTTTTTTTTTTTTTTTAACTGATATGACAATGTATAGTTGTCCTAAGGAAAATGCTTTTCAACTGTATGAGACACTTCTTTGACTTTTCAACTTTCTTCTGGTTATAAATCTGAATTTTCAGGTAATTGAGTGTTTTAAGATTTTTTTTTTTTGGATGCGGACCATTTTTAAAGTCGGTTGAATTTGTTACAGCATTGCTTCTGTTGCATGTTTTGAGTTTTTGGCCCTGAGTCACATGGAATCTTAGCTCCACGACCAGGGACTGAATCCACACCCCCTACATTGAAAGGCAAAATCTTAACCGCTGGACCATCAGTGAAGTCCCAAGTTTTTTTGGTGGGGGAGGAGTGGTGGTGCAGAAATCTCAAGACAGTGTATAATTGTCCTAAGGGAAATAACTTCTCAACTGTACCAGACACTTTCTTGACTTAAATTTTTTATTTGGTTATAAATGTGATTTTTCATTGGGAAAAAAAACAGGGAAGTGAAGAAAATTATGGAAAGAATACCAATGCAGTGGCCCCTGTGAGCAGGTCTCCCAATTCTTTGACTAAGGGAATGTTGCTAATTTGATCCAGTCTCTGTCATGGTTTTTTCTGTTTTTCCTTTTAAAAAAGTTTTTGGAAGATCTTACTTATTTTAGGACAAACTAAGTCATTTTTTGGCGCTGAGAAGTCATTTGAAGGGGAATGTCCCGAGTGAAAAAGATCAGCCACCTGCTGCGCTTCATCTGCCCCATGAAAAGTCTGAAAACTCTTAACAGGATAACTTAATGTGATGCTTAAAGCACATGCTGTCTAATTGAGGAAGTTGAGTTTGTGACTGAACTGCCCACTCGGGAGGCAGAGTGTGAGGCGGTGGCTGATTGGTAGGAGGGAAGACCAGGTGGTGTATTTTTAGAAAGGGATTTACATGGAAATGCTTGTGTGTCTCCTCTGTATTTTCCAAGCAGAGAGCAAGTCCCCATGGAGAAAGCTGGAGGAGTGCGTGAGGCCAGATACAAGGGGAGTGGAACCATTCATTAGTTGGTGTCTAGAGGGTTAATGGAGACTGGGCTACTGAAGGAGGGCGGCCATTCACCAGTCATTCCTCAGTAATGCTGGTTATAGTACATTCTTAGGGTTGAGAATGAGTCATCTGAGAAGCAGTCTGTGGGTGGTCTTAGAGGTACAGTATTCAGTCCCTCTTCCAGACAAGCAGCCATGGCTGGCACAGTGGCCCCAGGACCCAGCATAGCTCAGAGGTGGTGACCTTGACTTCCATCTCAGAGTCAGTTGGATTTTGCCCTGAACTCATAGCTTGTTTCAGAAGCAGCAAGTATTATGCTTGCTTGCATGAGACTTTCTTATTGCTCTGAGACCATGATAAGAGATTTTCCATCACAAAGTATATAAGCACTATTCAGTTCAGTTCAGTCACTCAGTCGTGTCTGACTCTTTGCGACCCCATGAATCACAGCATGTCAGGCCTCCCTGTCCATCACCAACTCCTGGAGTTTACTCAAACTCATGTCCATCGAATTCGTGACGCCATCCAGCCATCTCATCCTCTGTCGTCCCCTTCTCCTCCTGCCCCCAATCCCTCCCAGCATCAGGGTTTTTCCAGTGAGTCAACTCTTCACATGAGGTGGCCAAAGTATTGGAGTTTCAGCTTTAGCATCAGTCCTTCCAATGAACACCCAGGACTGATCTCCTTCAGGATGGACTGGTTGGATCTCCTTGCAGTCCAAGGGACTCTCAAGAGTCTTCTCCAACACCACAGTTCAAAAGCATCAATTTTTTGGCGCTCAGCTTTCTTCACAGTCCAACACTCACATCCATACATGACCACTGGAAAAACCATAGCCTTGACTAGATGGACCTTTGTTGGCAAAGTAATGTCTTTTTTTTGTTTTGTTTTGTTTTTGTCTTTGTTTTTTAATATGCTGTCTAGGTTGGTCATAACTTTCCTTCCAAGGAGTAAGCCTCTTAATTTCATGGCTGCAATCACCATTTGCAGTGATTTTGGAGTCCAAAAAAATAAAGTCAGCCACTGTTTCCACTGTCCATCTATTTGCCATGAAGTGATGGGACCGGATGCCATGATCTTAGTTTTCTGAATGTTGAGCTTTAAGCCAACTTTTTCACTCTCCTCTTTCACTTTCATCAAGAGGCTCTTTAGTTCTTCACTTTCTGCCGTAAGGGTAGCGTCATCTGCATATCTGAGGTTATTGATGTTTCTCCCAGCAATCTTGATTCCAGCTTGTACATCTTCCAGCCCAGCTTTTCTCATGATGTACTCTGCATATAAGTTAAATAAGCAGGGTGACAATATACTTGTCGAACGTGCCTTAACGTACTCCTTTTCCTATTTGGAACCAGTCTGTTGTTCCATGTCCAGTTCTAACTGTTGCTTCCTGACCTGCATACAGGTTTCTCAAGAGGCAGGTCAGGTGGTCTGGTATTCTTATCTCTTTCAGAATTTTCCACAGTTTATTGTGATCCACACAGTCAAAGGCATTGGCATAGTCAATAAAGCAGAAATAGATGTTTTTCTGAAACTCTCTTGCTTTTTTGATGATCCAGTGGATGTTGGCAATTTGATCTCTGGTTCTTCTGCCTTTTCTAAAACCAGCTTGAACATCTGGAAGTTCACGGTTCACCTATTGCTAAAGCCTGGCTTGGAGAATTTTGAGCATTACTTTACTAGTGTGTGAGATGAGTGCAATTGTGCAGGGTGGAGCATTCTTTGGGATTGCCTTTCTTTGGGATTGGAATGAAAACTGACCTTTTCCAGTCCTGTGGCCACTACTGAGTTTTTCAAATTTGCTGACATATTGAATGCAGCACTTTTACAGCATCATCTTTCAGGATTTGAAATAGCTCAACTGGAATTCCATCACCTCCACTAGTTTTGTTTGTAGCGATGCTTTCTAAGTCCCACTTGACTTCACATTCCAGGATGTCTGGCTCTAGGTGAGTGATCACACCATTGTGATTATCTGGGTCGTGAAGATCTTTTTTGTATAGTTTTTCTCTGTATTCTTGCCACCTCTTGTTAATATCTCCTGCTGCTTTAGGTCCATACCATTTCTGTCCTTTATTGTGCCCATCTTTGCATGAAATGTTCCCTTGGTATCTCTAATTTTCTTGAAGAAATCTCTAGTCTTTCCCATTCTGTTGTTTTCCTCTATTTCTTAACACTGACCACTGAGGAAGGCTTTCTTATCTCTCCTTGCTATTCTTTGGAACTCTGCATTCATATGGGAATATCTTTCCTTTTCTCCTTTGCTTTTCGCTTCTCTTCTTCTCACAACTATTTGTAAGGCCACCTCAGAGAACCATTTTGCCTTTTTGCATTTCTTTTCCATGGGGATGGTCTTGATCCCTGTCTCCTGTACAATGTCACGAACCTCTGTCCATAGTTCATCAGGCACTCTATCAGATCTAGTCCCATAAATCTATTTCTCACTTCCACTATATGGTCATAAGGGATTTGATTTAGGTCATACCTGAATGGTCCAGTGGTTTTCCCTACTTTCTTCAATTTAAGTCTGAATTTGGCAATAAGGAGTTCATGATCTGAGCACTATTCGGGGCCTGCTACTGGGCCGGGAATTCTGGGTAGGCTAGCTATCTTTCAATATTACTGTATCACCCCCGATTTCTGAATCCAGTTCAGGAGCATCCGTTGTCTTGACTTGTCACTTGCTTTTCTTTTCGAAAGAGAATCTTAAGTATACTGGGCCATGAAGCTCTCCTGAGTCAAAGTGTGTTCTCCGTGCCTTCTTGACTTGCAGGCTGAGAAACTCAGCAAAGTCTTCGACCTCTTTCTGCTTATAACATCTTTTTAAATGACATCCCCTTCCGTAAGGTTGGTATGCCAGCCTGAAAATCTGCTGACATGTGGCAGGCCTGAGGGCATCACTGTGGATGGCTGCCTGTGGCCTCTTAGGATGGCTTGACCTAATGATTTTAAGTGTCTAATTCATAGCCTTAAATGCTCAGAAACTGTATTAAAAAAATATTCTGAGATGAACATGCTTTAGTATCATGCATTGTCACAAAGTTCAGGTGAGGCTGATTAATAAGACGTCCTTCTTGTTTATGTGTTTATAAGCTAAACAGTCATGTTTAGTTGTTGGCGTGCCTTCATCCTCTGTCCAAAGCAGAAGAGTAGGATTAGTAGTAATTAGTTACTAAAAATAATTAGGATAAGGGATAATTTGTTCAGACATGTTCAGACCTAAAGCAGAGGTCACACACCTCTAAGTAATTGGAATCTCTGAATCACGTTATTTCCTCCATTCTCTAGATCTTTGTTGGACACATTATTGCTTACGCTGGCCCTGACTGAGATATGTTGGTATTCCTAATCAACAACAGGACCTGTTTTAAAGGGCCTGAAAGAGGCATAGATGGGAAAACAGTGGAAACAGTGATAGACTTTATTTTGGGGGGCTCCAAAATCACTGCAGATGATGACTGCTGACATGAAATTAAAAGATGCTTGCTCCTTGGAAGAAAAGTTATGACCAACCTAGACAGCATATTAAAAAGCAGAGACATTACTTTGCCAACAAAGGTCCATCTAGTCAAGGCTATGGTTTTTCCCGTAGTTGTGTATGGATGTGAGAGTTGGACTATAAAAAAAGCTGAGCGCCAAAGAATTGATGCTTTGGAACTGTGGTGCTGGAGAAGACTCTTGAGAGTCCCTTTGACTGCAAGGAGATCCAACCAGTCCATCCTAAAGGAGATCAATGCTGAATATTTATTGGAAGGACTGATGCTGAAGCTGAAACTCCAATATTTTGGCCACCTGATACGAAGAACTGACTCATTGGAAAAGACTGATTCTGGGAAAGATTGAAGATGGGAGAAGGGGATGACAGAGGATGAGATGGTTGGATGGCATCACCGACTCAATGGACATGAGTTTGGGTAAACTCCCAGAGTTGATGATGGGCAGGGAGGCCTGGTGTGCTGCAGTCCATGGGGTCGCAAAGAGTCGGACACGACTGAGCGACTGAACTGAACTGAAAAGAGCCATTCTTTCTCCTCCATTTACATGTTGATGAATTTAGGTTAACTCTGAGAGGGAATCTTCTTTATTTCTAATTCTAACTTCTTAGCATCCTTTTCAGGGCCAGACACTTGCTTATTAAATATTCTATGCACTTTTTTTTGGTAATCAGACTGCAGATTTGGTGCCCCAGTTAGGATACGTGTATTAGCAAGTTAGCAGAAAATCCAACTAAGCCTGACTGAAACAATAAATGGTGACTAAGATCCACCCATAGGATGAGCTTTTGGAGTTGGTGTAATTCAGAGAGTCACGAGATTTTCAGGGTCCTACTTTCCATGGGGTTGAGTTCATTCAGTTCAGCTCAGTCACTCAGTTGTGTCCGACTCTGCGACCACATGGACTGTAGCACACTAGGTTTCCCTGTCCACCACCAACTTCTGGAGCTTGTTCAAACTCACGTCCATTGACTTGGTGATGCCATCCAACCATCTTGTCCTCTGTCCTGACTGGATTTTCTCCTGGTGACAGAATGGCTGCAGTAGTTCTAGGCTTTACATCCATGCACCTCTCTCCCAAAGACCACCAGCAAATCTGCTCTCATTTTACTGGCCTGAATTGAGGCTCCATTCTTGAGCCAACCCCTGAGTTCAGGGGAATGCAGTGTGGTGACAGGCCTAGACCAAGACTATCAGACTAATTAGGAATTAGTGACAAGAGGAATAGGATTACCCAGAGGAAAACTGGCCACTCAGGAGCTCTGCATAGTATCAGCTTACCTTGAAGCACTTGGGTTCCATGGGAGAGCAAGGGGATTGGATGGATACCTGGGTGGAAATTTAAGGTACTCTAAGGCTTCCCTGGTGCCTCAGACGGTAAAGAATCCACCTGCAATGTGGGAGACCTGGGTTTGATTCCTGGATTGGGAAGATTCCCTGGAGAAGGGAATGGCTACCGACTGCAGTATTCTGGCCTAGACAATTCCATGTACTGTATAGTCCATGGGGTCGCAAAGAGTTGGACATGACTGAACTGGCTGGTGACAAAGGAAGAGGGGAAGGAGGCTGGATGTTGGGTAGGCAACTAACGCAGTATCTCTTTTTCAGGTATATGCAGAGTTTTCTTGAACTTCTAGAATATGAAAATAAGAGCCCTGAAGATCCGCAGGTCTTGGATAAGTAAGTAGGACACCAAACTTACCTGAAAGTAAAAAAAAATGTTTTAGTAAATGGGACTCACGTCATTGAGAGCCAAGAAGTACAAGTGGGATGGAAGCATTAGGTTTCTTAATGGGTAACAGCTCACCATTGCAGTTTTTTAATTAATTTATTTTAATTGGAGGATAATTACAATATTGTGATGGTTTTTGCAGTATATCAACATGAATCGGCCACAGGTATACATGTGTGTCTCTTCCCCCACCCATCCTGAACCCCCTTCCCACTTCCCTCCCTACCCTGTAAATTCGAGCTAAGAATTTAACTAGTACCAGGAGACCCTTCAAATTACACCTCCTGATCTAATTCTTAATACTTGTGCTTCTTTCTGGTGAACTGGTGCTGGGCACCTACTGTAGATATTGCAGTAAATGTTCCACCTAGTGGTAGTTTTGAGAACGCACTGACCTCTGTGTATACATGAGTTTATGTACTTAGTCCCTATGATTTGTTTTTAAAGTTTCAGTGCAGTATAACATTTGAGCTCAGAGAAAAGATAATGCTTTTATTCTGGAGACGCATAAAAGTATGCTATTAACATAACTCTTCTGAATTCTATTGCTGCTTTTAGGCACAGAGACTGCTAAGTTTCCATGCTGATGGAAAATATTTCCAGTTTTTCTTTTTCATTTAACCAGAAAACACCCAGCTCTGAGTGTGTTTTTTCCCCTGCTAAGAGAAATTGTGTCCTCTTCCCATTATTTTTCTCGTCTTTCATGTACCCATCGTTGAATTCATATGGCAGGCCTGTTGGGCTGCGGAATTTCCAGATAGAAACCTGGCCCACATCATTGTGACACCAAATGCCTTACATGTAGGTGTTCCATAAAAAGAACTAAGAAATATCACATTACATAAGTGACCTTAGCTCAAGGCATGTAACCCAGCTGTCTCAATTCACAGATAAGGAAACTGAGGTCCGAGTTGTGAAGTGACTTCCCCAAGATTGTAACATCAGTTAAGAGCAGAGCTGAGTCTCTAAATCATGTTTACTCTTCCTCAGTACAGTTGCTCTTTGCAATGCACCATATTGCCAGAACTGCTGGTCTGGGTCGTGAGTAGCTAGGTCAGATGTACTTGTAAAGTAAAATGCAAAGCAAAAAAAGTCCTGACCTGTTTTTACTTCACTAGATGTTTTGTTAATGGTGAAATGTGGAAGAGGAGGCATTGTATTAGAGCCCCGGCTGTAATGTTTTTCTTGTTATAGGCCTTTGCTGTCATTTGTTATCAAAGTTAAATGAATCGAATCCAGAAGCTTTGTTTTCACCAAAGTCCTTAGCTAGTGACAGTTTGTTTGGCTGGTATCCTGCAAATAAGGACTGACCTCTCTAGCTTCAGATTTGGGGGTATAGGTTTGTGAGCATCTGTGATAATACATTTCTGCTCTGTGCTTCTGCAGTCTTGTGATTTATGGACACAAGTCTTTAGAAGCTGCCAACTTCTGGATCCAGTGTTACGAGATCGTAATGATAACAGCTCTCATTGAGTTTCAGTAACCTGCCCAGGTTGCCATGAAACTAGTTGGGAGACTTGGGGTTGTAGAAGCCAGATGCTTGTGGTGAAGGAAGGAATAGGGAGTCCTGTTCATCGTAGCATCCTTTTCTGCTTAGTGAGAGGTTATACAGGAGTCGTGAGCAGGCAAATCATAAGTAAAGTGAAAGTAGCAAGGAAGATGAGGATGTTGATCATAATGACAAAGTTTAGAAGAGCCCCAGGACTTCCATAGTGGTTCAGTGGTTAAGTTTCTATCTTCTTATGCAGGGGGTGCCGGTTCGATCTCTGATCAGGGAACTAAGGTCCCATGCGCCACAGTGCTGTGCTTAATCACTCAACTGTGTCTGACTCTTTGTGACCCCATGCACTGTAGCCCACAAGGCTCCTCTGTGGAAATTCTCCAGGCAAGAATACTGGAGTGGGTTGCCTTGCCCTCCTCTAGGGGATCTTCCAAACCCAGGGATCGAACCCAGGTCTCCTGCATTGCAGGCAGATTCTTCACCATCTGAGCCACCAGGGAAGCCCTGGGTGTGGCCAAAAATGTAAAATTAAATAAGACTTGTTGGAAAAAAAAAAAAAGGAGCCCCAGAAGATTGGGAAAGTAGTCTGAGAATTGAACCATTGAGGCAAGTCTCCTCCCTACAGATAAGTTGAGTCACTTTCCTACTGTAATGAATTGTTACACTTTAGTAATATTTCATTATGAATACATTGGGAAGAGCATTGTGTAAAGGATAAATGGTCCATTAGAAAATTTCTCATGAATAATTTTGACCTTCTAATTTCTGAGTTGACTTATTCATTTTTGCTGTCTCTGTACATGTGTATTTATTACAGAAGAGTTTCATCATTGAGAAACATAAGACTATGCGGATAGTCACTCCAAATTTCCATTACTGGGAAATTAAATTACTGTTAACATTTTCCTTCCATCCATACTTGGCATACATGTTCCCATATGTGCAGAATGCTTTGTTTTGTTTTTTACAAAAATAACAGTGTCAGCATTATAGGTCTATCCCATTGTTAGTAATTTCATAGTGGTCCACCTGTAGATAAGTCAGATGACTTGACCTCCTGTTACAGGGTTTAGAATAGTTTGTGGTCTTCTTGCTACCCTAAGTAGTGCTCTAAAGAACAGCTCTGAAATATAATTGTTGACCTTATCCAGTTCTTTTCCTGGAGTCAGTTCCCGGGAGTGGAATAACTTTCTTTGGGCTTTTGATACAGGCTGCTCAGTCACCCCTAGAAATTCATCAGATAAGTGCCCACTGTCTAGCCAGCAGTGGTTATTCTTTGCTGGTCCGGTAAGCATAGTGTTGCATTGTTTTAATTTGCTTTTCTTTTGTTATTTCGAAGGTGAAGTTATTGGCATTTGCTTGCCCTCTGGTACATTTTCTGTTGATACCAGGCCCCTTGCCTAGTTTTCTGTTAGGGTGTGGTCATCTTTTCCTTTACTAAGAATAGTAACTCTTATGAATATATTTTTCTCAGATTTCACTTTTCTTGTGTCCTTATAAAATTGCTGAGATCCTATACAGTCCTATGATTTGTTTCTTCGTGGTTTCTGCCTTAGAACAATCTTCCTTACTCTCAAGGTTATATACTTACCTGATTTTCTTCTTTCTTTTCTACAATTTCACCCTTTTACATTTAAGTTTTTTAGCCCATTTTTGGGTGTAAGGTTTAAAATTGGGGCATGACTTACATTATTAGTCAGCTATCCCAACTAATTTGTTTCCCTACTGACTTACATTGTCACTTCATCATCAGTATTGCTGAATTTTTACACACACGTTCTCATTCACCCTTGATCCTGGTTCCAAGGTTTTTATTTGGTTCCATTGACTTGCCTTTCTGTTCTTAGTTACCATTCTCAATATAGTTTTCCCTCTACACCTTTACAATAATGTACCCAAATATTTGAATAGGTTTGTCTTAATCACCTTTGTTCTATCTATGTTCCATCACTATATTACTGCTGTGAGAAATTTGCTTCAAAATTTTGCTTTTAAATGGTTTGACATCATTTACTTCTTCATGGAAGCTATCTTTTTAAGACTCCATCATAAATCCTTGGAGATTTTTGGTATTGTCTTCATGTTGTCAGAAGAAACATCAATAAATCCTTCAGTTATGTATTCAGCAAACATTTATAGAGTCTGTTTCATATGTTATCATTTATCTAGCAAGTCAGTGGATTCCTAAAAAGGTATTTGAGCATTCTGTTTCTTTATTTAAAAAGTTAAGTATTTCTGAAGGAAGACTTTCTGGAGAAAGTTTCAAGCAAAAACTGGGTAATCTAGTTTCTTGTGAGTAATTCTTTGTAATCTATGATGATAGCGATGGCTCTGCCTATAAAAATACCAGCAGGTAAATAGTTCCAAAATAAAGCTGGGAAATTTGTGCATTAGTCCATGAAACATAAAGACTGACTACTCTTTTGTTTCCTTCCCATGCAGCTTTCTACAAGTCCTAATTAAAATCAGAAATAGACACAATGATGTGGTTCCTACAATGGCCCAAGGAGTGATCGAGTACAAGGAGAAGTTTGGGTTTGATCCATTCATTAGCAGTAACATCCAGTATTTTCTGGACCGATTTTATACCAACCGCATCTCTTTCCGCATGCTTATTAACCAGCACAGTAAGTTGGGTTTTCTTGGTCCAGTTTTGAAAAGATAACCAGAGTGATTTCGCCCAGATGTTTTCCTATTGCTTCACTTTCAATTTACTGATCTGCATTTTTGTCTAGAAATTTAACTTCTAGGTCAGTTTTTCCTAAGTGAGTCCTGTCTATGAAAAAGCTAATCTTTAGAACTCTCAGTTAAAGGAAATCCTTGAAAGCCTTTTTGGATACTCATATTAGAGACAGGACCACTGCCTGCCTTTTAAGCCTCTGCTGTTATGTTACTGGTGGGGCATAGTATCTGGCAGGCACCTGGCAGCATGGTATTCATCTCTGAATACTTCCAGTGTCTCTAGAGTCGGTTCTAAACTTTATCCAGGATGGCACATGGTTTCCTTTTTTGGTTTTAAAAACAGTGATACTGAGAATATACTGGGAATATTGAATTGGCATGTTGGCAATATGAGCAATTGATCTTACTTTTCACAGTGATCAGTGAAATCAGATTATGTGGAATTGTCAAACCCTAATCTTGTATTGAGAGTTTTAATCTCTTCTCTAGGCTGATAAGCAGATAAGAAAAGAATAACTAAAATTCTCTCCACAAAAACTTTTAAACTCATTTTCAGTGTGTCTCTGTGTCCAATTTTGTAACTTTTATGAAAAAGCATCCAGGTATCTAGAGTCTAATTCATCCTCTTTGTTGAGTCAGAAAATGGACAGAGCATCTTTATGTTAGTAATATTACTTTATTTGGATAGCAAATGTTATGCGGCTGTCAAATGTGGGTTTGTTCTAAATGTATGTCTGTTGAAAATGTAAATGTTTGGCAATTTACAGGAAATTTAAAAGAAAAGAAAAGAACCCCAATACTATTGAATTAAACTACTTAGATAATTACAATTTCTTTCTGACCTGAATATGTGTGTCCACATATATACGTACATGGTTTTCGATCATTAAGTTTGTGCATCTCTTGTTTTTCTTCCACTTAATCAGTTGGCACTTTACATATTGGCCTAATGCCCATGTTTGTCCTCTTTCATAATTAAAACCTTCACCTATTTCATTTAAGCATTTTCCTCCTGTGGAGTCTAAGTTATTTCCCATTTCTTATTTGACTTAAAAATAGGCACATATATTAAACATTTGTATTCAGATTGCTTTTTTCTTTGGAGGGGTCTCCTTTTGGCTTTTTAAAAAAATTTAATTGAAGGATAATTGGTTTACAATGTTGTGTTGGTTTCTGCCATGCCACAACATGAATCAGCCAAAATTATGCATATTTTATAATTATAAAGTACACAATTTATATAATTGTATGAACTATAAATTTATTGTATAAATTGTCCTCCCTCTTAAACCTCCCTCCCACCCCATCCCACCCCTCTAGATTGTCACAGAGCACCAGATTGAGCTCCCGGTGTTATATAGCAGCTCCCCACTAGCTGTCTGTTTTACACGTGGTTGTGTGTAATGGACTTCCCTGGTGGCTCAGACTGTAAAGCATCTGCTTACAATGCAGGAGACCCGGGTTCAATCCCTGGATCGGGAAGATCTCCTGGAGAAGGAAATGGCAACCCGCTCCAGTATTCTTGCCTGGAAAATCCCATGGACCGAGAAGCCTGGTAGGCTACGGTTCATTGGGGTCGCAAAGAGTCCGAAATGACTGAGCGCTTCACTGTGTGTATATGTCAGTGCTACTGTCTTTAATTGTCCCACCTTCTCCTTCCATGCTGTGTTCATAAGTCTGTTCTCGCATCTCCATCTCTATTCCTGACCTTCAAATAGGTTCATCAGTACCATTTTTCTAGAATCCATATATATGCATTAATATCAGATACTTGTTTTTTCTCCTTCTGACTTATTTCACTGTGTATAAGAGACTCTAGGCTCATCCACCTTACTAGAACTGACTCAAATTCATTCCTTGTTATGACTGAGTATTATTCCATTGTATATGTACCACAACTTGGGCTTTTTTTCAGAAGTAAAATTTTGCAAACCTTGTATATTATGAGAATAGTTGAGTGTTCTCTTAAAAACACTTGCACAAATAGTGTAGTATGGTGAAAGTAATCTACGATTGAGGCATTTGAGTGTTCATGGTAAAAGACCCTTTGTAAGCCTAGCCTAATGCTGCAGACTATTTTGTAAATATTTAGTGAATGTTGGAATAACTGTCTAGGATAGTGCTGAGAAGGTGGGTTAACTTGACTCAAGATGGAAGGAAGCTGTTTTTCAACCAGATCACATTGGATTGGGGAGAGCAGGTTGGATAGATGCTTCATGTTGCTGCTTGAGGACCTGCTAACTGCACGTGACGGTCTCACGGCATGGCAGGTCCTCCATTGCACGATAACTGATGACCGACCAGTTGAATGGATTCTGTTACTCTAAGTCACTGTGGATGCTAAAACAGCTTTCACAATGAGAGGATCTTTTCAAAACTTAAAAGCCCGAAATTCCTCTGCCTGACCATCCTAGCCGGGTTTGTTTTTAATCCTCTCCCTTTTCTCTTGGGTGTGTTTAGCACTTCTGTTTGGCGGTGACACCAATCCTGCGCATCCGAAACACATCGGAAGTATTGATCCCACCTGCAACGTTGCTGATGTCGTGAAAGGTAAGGAGGCCAGTTTCATGTTAGGGGTTTTGTTTTGTTGGGATGCGTTAGGGATGCGGTTTCGTTGAGGCAGCTTAGCTGTAGGGTTATGGCATTGAACTGTTTGCTGGTTCATCAGACCACTATGGGCCCAAGCCACATGATCCAAATATGATCTGTTCTTTCTTGGCAGCTCAGGCAATGATGCATAGTTTGTAATGCTCAAAATGGGAATTTCTACTTCACGGACCAGGGTTTTTCTTATAGTTCTAGCTAAATGGTAAATATTTATGAGTTTAAGTAAGAGTCTAAGTTTTGATTGCCACCACTGTCTGAAAATTTGAGAATATAAACCCTTGTTATAAAATTCAGCTGAATTCACACATTGGTTAAAAAGTGGACATCTTACTGACATGCCCTCCAGGTTGTAGGTTCTATGAGGCGTTTGCGCTCACAGGTTCACTGGACATTGAGCTGGGCTCTGTTCCATTAGCCTCAGGGTATAACAGAGCCCATTAAAACAGCATTTTCCTCAGTTTTCACTTAAGGTAAAGGCTAGCTCCAGAAAGCCTTCCTGGTTGTAAATGATTGAACGGATTCCTGGCCCTCTCCAGTTATTTTCGGTGTTATGGTTACCCTACGCAACCTCACATTCTGAGACTGTCCCCTTTCCTGGATCGTGTCTCCTGCGGCCTTCCTCTAAACCCACATCTTACCCTGTCATGGCCATCGGTCTCCCAGATCGTCATTAGGATCTCTGTTGCTCTTCTTTTGTCTGGATTGTGTAGCTAGGTGAGAATAGGTAGAAGAGGGCTTGGTCTCTGGCAAAGCTCTGAAGCCCGCCTCAAGTGGAGTGACCTTTGCCAACAAAGCTTAGAGGGCCAAGGGAGGGGACCCAGTGTGGGCAGCCTCCCTGGTGGGGGAACAGACCAGATCTTCAGCTGCTGAAGCTAAGGAAAACCTGTCTTACTAATATTTGGTTACCCTGGGTATCCCCCTGGTGGCCTTAGCTCAGCCAAGGCTTGTCAGGCTGCCTTGGCCTCTGTTTAGTTAGAAAACATGTACTCGCATTACTCCAGTTATAAGTGAATAGGCTCGGCTTCAGCTCCTGAGGATACCTGTAGGTTTCTCTCTCACAAGATAACCCTCTGCAGGCCCCTGGCAGCGGAAGGAAGCAGGATCCGTCTGACCAGGGCTTGTATGTTCACCTGGCCCTGGCCCAGTAGCTTTTATGATCCAGAAAACCTGGTTCACATAGTCGACTGCCATATGTGTCTTATGGACAAGACACATCTCCATAAAGCAAAAGGGCATTATAATATTGATAGATTGCATAGATGCCTTTTCTCTTGAACTGCCAGCAGTTTGAAGTCAGGGTTTTTGTCTTATACTTACGTTGCAACTCACCTAGAACTTAGTATATGCCTGTATACATGGTCAATAAATACTCCTTGGCTTCAGAGATGTCCAACCACTGGTAATTTACTTAAAAAAAAAAACTTTATTGCAGTACAATTCATATACCATCCAATTCACTCATTTAAAGTGTACAATTCAGGGATTTCTAGTATGTTCACAGTTGTGCAGCTGTCACCATAATCCAATTTTAGAAGTGTTAATCACCCAACAAAGAAAACCCCATGCCCATTTGAAATCACTCCCTACTACCCCTCTCCCCAGCCCTAGGCAACCAACTAGTTTACTTTCTGTCTCTACAGATATTCCTATTCTGGACATGTGATATAAATGAAGTGATACAGTGTGTGGTCTTTTGTGATTGGTTTCTTTCACTTAGCATAATGTTTTCAAGTGTCATCCATGTTATAACATAAATTGGTACTTCATTTCTTTTTATGGTCGAATACTATTCTATTGTGTGAATAGACTGCATTTTGTTTTATCTGTTCATCAGCTGATAGACACTTAGATGAACTAGGTGACCTTGGATATGTTATATAATGTCTTTGAGCCTCAGTTTCTTCATCAATAAAATGGTGCTCTTGGCAATTCACCTGTGTCCTAGGGTTAAATGAATTAACATAAGTAGAGCTCCTGAAGCGGGGCAAGCACGCAACAAGGGCTGGAGGTAGACAAGTTTGTGAGCGTCCTGGGTCAATCCCACGAGTCATGCGCCTTCTCACTTATACCATTGATTGCATAATAAGTTGGTGCCTTTGCATTTGTTTCTGGCATAAATTGTTGTTGTTCAGTCACTAAGTCTTGTTTGACTCTTTGTGACCCCATGGACTGCTGCACGCCAGGCTTCCCTGTCCTTCACCATCTCCCGGAGTTTGCTCACACTCATGTCCATTGGGTCAGTGATGCCATCCAACCATCTCATCCTGTTGTCCCCTTCTCTTCCTGCCTTCAATCTTTCCCAAGTCAGCTCTTCACATCAGGTGGCCAAAATTATTGGAGCTTCAGCATCAGTCCTTCCAATGAATATTCAGGCGTAAATTATAAAATACTTAAAATCATTTAGGACATTGATAAAACAATTGAATATTTGTTGACACCCACTGGAGTGGGTAGCGATTCCCTTCTCCAGGGTATCTTCCCAACCCAGGTCTCCCACATTGCAGGCAGATTCTTTACCAGCTGAGCCATTAGGGAAGCCCAGGTGTTCAAGAAAAATTGTTAATTTTTTGGGTGTGATACTGACATTGTGGTTATGTTCGTTTTAAAGGCATCCTTAGCTTCAAGAGAGGTTCTTTGAAATACCAGACTTGATACAAAATGCCATGTGGGATTGACTCCAGAGAGTGGGCAGTGAAAAAGACTGGGCTGTGTTGGGAAGCATCAAGTCTTGTGATGAGCACACAGGGATTCTTGACACTGCTCTGTGCTTATGTCTCCGTTTGCAGTTCTTCATGATAAAGCCGTAAAAATATACTCCTTTTTTATCATCTCAGTGTTTCTCCACAAAAAGTCTCTCACTCATTTTTAGAGAGTCCTAGCCATGAGTCAGTGTAAGTAGAGAACTAATGGGCATTCTCAGCAGTCGTTAGCGCTGCTGTCTGGTGAGTCAGAGGAGGAGGCTGGACGCTGGCAGAGAGCAAGAGCCGGTGTTTGCAGCCCTTATTGTCTGTGTGGCTCTTATTGTATTTACTGTATCCTGCCTGGGCTTGGCATCATTTGTATCAATGCTCCTGTTGGTCTCTTGAAAGTGAAAGTTGCTCACTTGTGTCCGACCCTCTGCAACCCCGTGGCCTATGTGGTCCATGGAATTCTCCAGGTCAAAATACTGGAGTGGGTAGCCTTTCCCTTCTTCAGGGGATCTTCCCAAACCCAGGTCTCCTGCATTGCAGGTAGATTTTTTACCAGCTGAGCCACCAGGGAAGCTCTAACCGGGGTGTACATTCCTAAAAGGCTGGACTTACTCTCATCCATGCTTGCATCGCTTTTCTCAGGGACAGAAGTTTTGTACCAAACGCTAGCCGAGGATTATGTGCAAGACAGTTGGATCAATATTTGAAAGAAAAAACCTAGAAGTTTTTGTGTCTCCTGCTTCCTTGGGCCTTTTCAGTCGAGGCTTTGACCCTGGGCCACTTGGCCCCCTCCCTCATTCTGGGCTCACTCACAGCTTTATCTTCACTCCTTCTCCTGCCCTTTTCGACTCTGTACGCAGCAAACCCTCCTGTTAGGGTGAACACAGTTTATTCCATCCGTCCTCTCATGGAATCATTCCTACTGCTTGTCTGAAACAACTGAAAGGCAAAGCTCACCCCCATGCCCCTCTGCCACCTCCCCCAGTGCACCGCTACCCCTCACACTTGCCCTGCTCCCACTCCCCACCACTTCTTTCAAACTGTTTTTCATTTCTTAATAACCTCTTTCCTTAAGGAAGACAACAGTGGGGGCTGGTTTCAGATTCTGAAAGGGCATGAACCTTTGAAGCAACTTCCACACCATCAGCTCTTCTGCCACCTTCATAAATCATAGATCGCACCACAGCACACTGAAGACGCTTGGCTTGGACATACTTTCTAGAACGCAGTGGTGCTTCTTCCGCTTGGTGAGGCCTGTGTTAAGTGAGGGTCACTTGTCTTCAAACTGTTGGTGTAAGTTATACCACATGAATATGTATGAACACACATAATTAATTTATACGTTATGTAAACTGAAGAAATGTGAGTACAGAAAAGAAACTGATTTCCATAAAAATCAGGTTGAATGCTTTGGGAAGTCTTGATAAAAAGAGTTTCTTAAAAATGTAATGAAGTAACTGTGAACAAGGTAACTTGTTACCTTGACCTTGGCAGCGGTGAGTAAAAATCTGAGAAAGAATATGCACTCAGATTGCTTGACAAGTATCTTTAGTGCACTTTAAAGAAATAGAAATTGGAATTCATAAAGAAATTGGAATTTGTAAAGAAATAGAAATTGGAATTCATAAAGAAATAGAAATTGTAATTCATAGCTGTATGTGGTATTGTTTATCTATGAAATATGACCTGGAACCCCTATTCAAAGGAGGGGCTTCAGCCTTATGTGAAAAGATTAGTAGAGGAATAAACTGTGTATTCATATGTGTATTTTAGGTTAATGTTTACAGTTATAGTCATATTTTATGGTTTCCTACTATCCAACTTTTTTGTCAATCATCCATCTCCTGTGCCCAGTTTGGTCAGTTAAGAGGACTAATACCATATTGTTGTTGTTGAGTCACTAAGTCGTGTCTGACTCTTTGCAACCCTATGGACTGCAGCACACCAGGCTCCTCTGTCCTATATTATCTCCTGGAATTTGTTCAGATTCATATCCATTAAGTTGGTGATGCTATCTAACCATAACAAGTGCTCACTGAAGAAAACTGAGAAAATGTAGGAAAAGATGGAAGAGAATAAACATCACCTGTCTTCGTAACCCAGTGAGAGCATTGTTTCCTACATTTGAATTCATACCCACTTTACAGACTGGTGTGCAGCTGGGAGTAGCGTGCATCTCTCTATGAAACCTGTAGTACGTGAGTATTTCCCCGTCTCCAGTGCTAGTGCCCGCCACACACCTTCCTGGATGAA